AAAAAAAAAAAAAAATACCAAAGATTCCTTATGAAACTTAATCAACCATTTTGTAACCCTGTGACGTCTTAGTTTGCTCAATTTTGAATGTGATCATTGCTAAAAGACAAATGCTGCACATTTAGGTCACAATCTGATGACACTAACTATAGTTTCTCAATCACTTAACCTAAAACATTCTTATTATTAGTACTTTTTAAAATCCAACGAATTACAGTGTCCATAACCATAATTTTCAAGTCACAAAACAGTTGGTCATTTTTTTTATTTGACGGACAAAGATGTCTAAAATAATTTACGTACACTTTGACTAATTTCTTTTTCAGTCTGATCAAAAACAAACTATCCACACAGACGTCTAAATTTACGACTCATTTATGTTCACATGTGCTAGCTGTTTTGGTGTAGTCCTGTTGAACACAAACTACTATTAATACTGTTCTCGAATTATATCTCTAGTAACATATCAGTAATAAATTAAATTCATAGAATCAAATTGGTCCATTTCTTTTATGATTTGTGGTGTACTTGATCTATATAATAAGGCTTAAAAACATGGAATATCAACTTGTGTGCCATTGACCAGTGGATCCGACATATGGGTCGGTGTTAGCCAGCCAGCCAGTGAATACTTTTATTTAATTATTCTTAATGCTAGTGGACTATGACATGATCTCCACTATAAAAGTTCTTGGACAGTGAAACTAGCCCATTGGATTGACAATTGTTATAAGGTAAGAGTTTAATTTTAATGAATTTAGATTATAATAATGTTAATCCATCAAAAGAAGACAAGTAAAAACGTGTGGGCAAGTCAATGAAGACAAACTTATTGGGCTTGTAAAACTGGATAAGGTAGGACATTACAATTGAAAACGGGCTATGGCCCAAAATCAACTAATTGAAAACGTGCTATGGCCCAAGAGTTATTAATTGAAAACGGGCTATAGCCCAAAATCAACTAATGACAAAGGGCTCAAACACACCCAGCCCAAGAAACTATACTAATTACTTACCGCCAATTCAAAATTCAGAAAAAAAAATGTCATCTTCAACTGATCTTCGCGCCTCTGAAAACCCTAGCGACTGGCGGTTCACATGGGAAGCCCAATCACACACCCCAACCCTCCGATTATTCCTATTCGATCTGAACACCAAACCTTCGTGCCAATGCACCAATCTCGAAGTCAAGTTAGTGCTCGAACAATCTCTACTAGTAGTCAGCTTTTTCGAAGACGAGGTCGAGACTTCACTGAGAGTTCCAATTCCTAGGGTTTTGGTCGATGTTGAAGCTCCGGTTCAGTTCAGCGCATTGGACGATCACATCGAAATAAAACTTGTTTTACTTCTTCCAGTCGATCACCCGATCGGTTTAAACTTTGAGTCCGTGTTGAATTTATCTGAAGATTATGAGTCTGCTCCACGAAATGTGGTATCGGATGAATTGCGGAATCTTTCTATGGATTCTGGTAATTTTTTACTGCAGAATTTCTTCCTACTGCTACTGTTATAATTTTTTATTTTTTTATCTCATTCATCATGATTAATAGGTTCAGAAGTTAAGAATTTATCTTCAATGGAGGAGGTCCACTTTTACTGCAGAAATTGCTCAAATAAGCTGACAAGGTCCCTCAGGTAGGATTTTTTTTTGTTCATTATGCTCGTCATTTCTAAATTTCAGCATTTTTTTTTGTGCGTTCATATTCCTTAATTTATACTTTACTGTGCAGGTTGGTTATAGTTGTGAAATTGGCATTTTAAATAGAAAATGTGCGAGGTCAGGGTCGGTAAGGGGGTGGCAATAAAATTTGAATCCTAACTCTAGTCTGGATTGGGGTGAAATTGGTATTTTATTGGTTATAAGGACACTATATTTTAAAGGGTAATATATCCCTTTATAAAGTACCATGGAGAAATAAAATTCATGTCGTGCGACCCTAAATAATTTTAAGTTCATATATCCGACCCCAAATAATTTGGATAAAACTTAAAAGACTTTAATTGAGAGATGCTATGCTTTCAATACAATGGTTAAAGTGACTGTAAGAGCTTTTTTTCCCTAAGTATTTCTTTCCCACCTATACAGATTTTTCAAGGAAATGCCATCAGTCAACTGGCGAGAGGTAGCTGACAATTGGTTTGGGGCTTGTTGTTGCTCATTTGGGGGAATAAGTGAGAAGCTGGTCACCAAGTATGCAGAATCCTATGCATGTGCAGCAGGTGTGTGCCTATTGAGTACCACATCTCTCACGCTTTGCAAGGATGACCTTGTAGGCTGTAAATTTCCTGACTTGGATTCAAGCCAAGATTATGAGTCCGAACTGAATGATGCTGGTGGCAGTTTTTTAATCGAAGTTACTCAAGAGAGTGGAAGTAAACATGAAAGCATAGTCTCCTGTGAGAATCTAAGTCAGAGGATGCAAGATCTTGACGAAAAATTTTGTAGTCTCTGTCCAAGGGAAAATAACCCAGGCGCAAGACTGGAGCATGAAGTTATTGAAAAGGCAAGTAATGGTGATAGTTTATCTTACGTGTGTCATGAATCTGATATCACAAGAAATATGGAATTGCATAATGGATGCCATGCTGATATAAAAAAACATATTCAGAACCATGATACTGAATGTTGCACTCATGACTCATCTGAAACTTCTCCAAAGGAGCCAAAATGTGGAATTGAACTACTACCAAATCAGAAAATTTTTCTTAATGGCTATCTTGGGAATGGTTTCATGGCTAGATCCTCCAATCTTTCGAAAGATGTTTCATGGATTGAATTTCCGTGCCCTCACTGTTCATACCTTCTTGGAGCATACCCTTGCATAAATGGTTGTTCACCATTGGATGGTGGAGTTCGATTGTTGAAGTGTTACATCTCAACTTGCCTGCCTGTTGGTGGATCAAGTGATTTGTTCAGGTAAACAATTGTGATAGGCATCAATGTATTGATGTCTGCAGCAATTTTTTGGTTTTTTTTTTTCTAGGGGTAGTAAGAATTTTTTTTTGTTTCTCTTTTTTGGCTTTTCTTTCTGTATAAATTAGTTGTAGAAGCTTTCACTTCATCTAGTTATGTGTGAGCCATCGGCTCATTCTTGTCTGACATAAGTGTCACATGTAAGCTCAGGTTAAGGGTTTATACACATTTTAAAGTTGTAATTACATGCACTTGGTTATAAATAGGCAAAGATGAAGTACTCTGATGAAGAGATGGGACCAAAAATTTTGACTGTGGTGAAAGTGAGGATCCATAAAGTGAGATAATTTTAAGTACAGTTCTGATTATGGCCAACATTGCAATTGAATTAATTGCCCTTCATGGTAAAGAGGGTGCATTAGAAAGAAATGGAAAGTGAAGAGTGGTGAGAACTGGTAATCCCCCCTACTGCATAGTTGATGTATCTCCCAATGGCCAAACTCGACTGCCTTGCTCCATTTGAGTTTATTGGTCCTGATTGATATAGCATAGTGGGGATCTTTGAGAATATTTTTTCTGATACTTATGTAAGGCGCATATCATTTAGGATTATNCATAGTGGGGATCTTTGAGAATATTTTTTCTGATACTTATGTAAGGCGCATATCATTTAGGATTATTATTAGCTTCTCTTTTCCTATATCTGTATGCAATTTCTGTTTCTTCTTTTTGTACAAACGTCCTCAGCTTAGAGTTTGTTTTTTATGTTTTTCTTCGTTTATTCATTTTCTCCTTTTTCCCTCCTCTTTTTATTGAAATAACATTGTTATGTAGGTCTATAACCTACCTCTTTCACAATTTGGTTCAGTTGTTAGTGTTGATAGAGTTACAATAATTGGATATTCAATAATTTCATCATGATGGACAGGAATTACACCTTGGAGAGGATGTTCACAAATCAGTTGCTAGAAAGTGCGGAAGATGAATTATCATTTCGAACTGTGGTTAAAGATCTGCATACCAAATGTCCTGTATTGCAACTTGTTCTCTTAAACCCACATTCATGGTGCTCTACTGGATACTGTTTGAGCACTATGGAACCAGTTGCCAAGATGGATATNCATGGTGCTCTACTGGATACTGTTTGAGCACTATGGAACCAGTTGCCAAGATGGATATTTACCCTACTATCAAGGTGCTATTTTCTGACTGCAGTAATGGTACTGAATTTCAAATAAGGTTAGTTCTTCGAAAGTGGTCTCCATGCGCTCTAAATTTATTGTGCCTTAGATTTGGAAAGGGAGGANTAATGGTACTGAATTTCAAATAAGGTTAGTTCTTCGAAAGTGGTCTCCATGCGCTCTAAATTTATTGTGCCTTAGATTTGGAAAGGGAGGAAAACCTATTGACGTTTTTTGGGGCCTAATGAGCAAAGTGCATTAATAACTGATAGCTTCCTTCAACATTTTGATCATCAAGAACATCTGAGGATCTCAGTTTTTCAATCATCACTCAAGGTCTTTCAGTTTTTTGAGGTTAAGGAACAGATTACAGGACAAATGCCTGTTTTTAGATATTCGTATTTACACAGACGGTATGAACTGAGAAGAGAATTGGACTGGGTAGATGTTCTTCCCAAACCTGTGTTAAACCATTGTGGATGTGGATGAATGGATCTTGATTAACACCACAGCATTACTTTCAGTTTCAGTACAAACCATAATCTGCTTTGGATTGTGCAAAATTAGCAGAGTCATTGTCCTCAGTTTTATTGAAATCACTGTCCCATTGGGTGTGTCTTGGATTTCCAAAAAGTATTGCATTTAGTAAAGCACTCTACCTCATCCTACTTATTCTGGAATCTGGACATATTGTTGGGAGTTCGAGATAGATTTGACCTGTCTTTGATCAAATTAACTCCACATTCTCATGCATTTGTGTACCTGGTACTCTTAGGTTCTACTGGACTTTGAGATCTTGCTTGTTTGTGTCTTGAATATTGAAACCTATCAACTCATCATAATTCCTTCTAATGCTGGATATGGATTTAAAGCTCTGAAACAATTCAGAAACATTATTTGGTCAAAAGTCAAAATGTTTAGTGCTTGCAACATAAGCAATTTCTCACTTAACTTTGTCAGCTCCCAGTTCAAGATTATGAAAGATAAAAATAATTAAAAAAAAAAAAAAGAGACAAAATCTGAACTTGCAAGTCACTAGTAAATAAGTACCCCCCGCAACCTTGCCTCTTTACTTTTTGTTTTCACAGATTCTGTGGTTTAGTATGCTTTGGTGTTGTATTTTATCACTACAGAATTTGTGTCCGAGTGTTCTCTGATTTTTTTGGATGTTCACCTCGTTACATTTGTTCCTTCTCTTCTATGTCAAACAACTGAGAATTAAGCCTTCCACAGGAATGTAGAAGAATGGATAACAAAGAATCAAGCTGATGAAGTCTACATGCTGGCATCCCAAATAAAAGAACTAATAGAATTCTTGGAGTCAGCAAACAATGTGTATCCACCATCCCATTCATTCCTGCAGGGTTTGCTTTTGTCAAGCTTGAGGAGGTAATAGTAAACTCTTGTTCTAAAGCTTAGATCTTCCATGGGATCCCTGTTTGATGAACGGGAAGGGATCCGTATGTGAAATCTTGTCAAATGGGAGGCAAGAGCATTCTCCGAAAGAAAAATAGTGGGAGGAATCCGAATTCAAAACTTGTCTCACATATATTAGCCTGATGCATTTCGTCAAGGTTGGCAATCGTTGGAGAGTTCAATTTCTCTGTGATGTGGTTTGCTTGGAATTGGACCTTTTTTAATTTCTATTGCCTTAAAAGCAGTTGCAAGTTTCCCATTATCATGTTCGTTGCAAGGTTGAAGCTTCTTGTGCTTTACAACAATCATGGTCATTTGAACAGATTGGGTCTTAAACTATGGATGCCTTCTGGTGGAATAAACATTGAACATGACTGGCTTCTGAAGATCAAGGGATTGTTGGATGTTTTCTTCTGAACCTGGTGTGAAACATCATTTCACGATTGAACATTTGATTGATTGGGTCAAAAGTGAGGGCGCATAGAAAGCAAACTGGATCACCGAAGCTGGCGCACATTACTTATAGTGCCAATGTCACGGCATGTCAGGTGCAGGTATCTTAGTTAAAATTGCTTTCTTTTTTTTCCTACTTGTTAACAGTTTTGCCTAATCTCCCCCAACCCCCACCACCCCCAACCCATGGTTCCCGTGATCTCTATCGTCTTTCAGATCTGTAACAGTGCTTTAGCAACTGTGCCAATAGCTGCTGTGATGGAATCATTTACATTAATCATGCATCTTTTCTGTATCCATGTGTTAAAACGAGATGACTTCATTTAATGGCGATGCATGACTACCTAAATGAACTTTTTTTTTTTCCTAATCTTTTAGATCTTTCACAAAAAACGAATTTCCGGCGACATTTAACTTTAATTCAAAGTCACGGACAACCAAGCCTTTGTTTCGCGGAAAGGGTTAAGGCATTGAATTAATACTTGATTCTTGGTAGTGGAATGGTTTGATGTCATAAACCTGAGTGATAATGATGGTGTAGGGTAGGGGAGAGAGAGGGCCACTAGATGGGGTTCTTCCATCAACAATGACATATAGCTTTGTTAAAAGTCAAATGTCTTTGCTGGAGCAGAGTACGGCACCGAAATGGAATATTTTCATATCATACTGAAAAGCTGCGAATGAAAAATAAAATTATAACATTAGGAGAAAGTTTACGATTATACTGAATAAAATTATAATATTAATGAAAAATTTATAACTGTAGTGGATAAAATTATCACAATAGTAGAAAAAATTATAATATTAGTGAAAAATTTACAATAATAGTTGGTAAAATTATAACATTAATAGATAATTTACTACAATAATGTGCACAATTATTACAATAATTGACAAAATTTTACCACCATTTAAAGTACTAAAATTATATTTTGTGAGTTTGTGATTGATCAATAATATTGACTAATCAATCAGTGAAAAAATTACAACATCATTAAAAAAAATTATAATAGTAGTGGACAAATTTATAACATCAATGAAAAATTACAACATCAGTGGAAAAATTTATATAGTAGTGGGTAAATTTATAACATCAATGAAAAATTTACAATAGTAATAGACAAACTTTAATCAATATGTTGGTAAAAGTACAAACGACACTTTTAATCACATTTGTTGTAAATATAACACTAGTGCATCCTATTGATGTTGTAAATTTACCTTTAAGTTTGTATTATTATCCATGGTTCTTATAATATTAACCAAAATGAAGTAAAATTTGTCTATATACTAATAAACTTAACCACAATCATTCTAAGTTTACAATATTTGTGTAAAAAAATTATCACAACAATGGGCAAAATTACAACAACAATGAAAAATTTATAACATTAGAGAGAAATTTACAATAGTGAAAATTTTACATAATCATTGTATTTAACCCTAAATTATAATAAATTTTTCCTCTGATGTCATAACATTTTCCCAATTGTGGTAAATTTATTCACCATGGTTTTAATTTAACCTTTTTTTTAGTAGTAAATTTATCCTTAATGCTCATAATATTATCAATAGGATGCACTGGTGTTATATTTACGACAAATGTGATTAAAAGTGTCGTTTGTACTTTTACTAACATATTGATTAAAGTTTGTCTATTACTATTGTAAATTTTTCATTGATGTTGTAAATTTATCCACTATTGTTATAAATTTTTTCACTGATGTTGTAATTTTTCATTGATGTTATAAATTTGTCCACTACTATTATAATTTTTTTTACTGATGTTGTAATTTTTTCACTGATCGATCAGTCAATATTAGTGATCGATCACAAACCCACAAAATATAGTTTTGGTACTTCAAATGGTGGTAAAAGTTTGCTCATTATTGCAGTAATTGTGCAAATTATTGTAGTAAATTGTCCATTGATGTTATAATTTTGTCTACTATTGTTGTAAATTTTTCACCGATATTATAATTTTTTTCACTATTGTGATAATTTTATTCATTATAGTCGTAAACTTTTCATTGATGTTATAATTTTATCTTCCATTAGCAATTTTTCGGTATGCTACCAAAATATTCTATTTCGGTACCGTAGTTTACTCCGTCTTTGATAGAATTATGCTTCCTCCCCTTTAATGAAAAGTCAAAGGTCATAAATCTAAGAGTTATTCATTACGGATTCTAGTGAAGATCACGTGTATATAATCTTACACGTGTGTGGAGAGAGTTTTCGTAATTTTTTTTTTTGGGGGGAGATAAACGATGCATTGTAAGGGCCCTACAATCTGGAGTAAATTTTAGTTGAAGGCTGACAAGGTAGACAGTTTAAATTTATTTTTANTGTAAGGGCCCTACAATCTGGAGTAAATTTTAGTTGAAGGCTGACAAGGTAGACAGTATAAATTTATTATTATNGTAAATTTTAGTTGAAGGCTGACAAGGTAGACAGTTTAAATTTATTTTTATTTTTTTTGTTTTAAGGATCAGGAGTTTTTAGTTTAATTTAAGTATATTTTGATTAATTCTTACTCCAATCCAATTAATGGTAGGTTATTTACGCCGGAATTAAAATATTCATGAGGGATAAATTATCTAANGGATCAGGAGTTTTTAGTTTAATTTAAGTATATTTTGATTAATTCTTACTCCAATCCGATTAATGGTAGGTTATCTACGCCGGAATTAAAATATTCATGAGGAATAAATTATCTAGACTTAAAATTATCAATATTTAAACTCAAGACATTTGAATTTACGGTTTGTCTCTGTTTTTACTTGAACTAGCATTAGGGTTGTTTAAAAATCNTTACGCCGGAATTAAAATATTCATGAGGGATAAATTATCTAGACTTAAAATTATCAATATTTAAACTCAAGACATTTGAATTTACGGTTTGTCTCTGTTTTTACTTGAACTAGCATTAGGGTTGTTTAAAAATCCTCCTTCGAGCAATAATTTTATACTCATTAAAACTTGAACTATTGGGTAAATTTCACGCTGGTGAGACATCTCCCGTTTGATGCAGAAGCAAATCAAATGGACCGTCCATAGTAGAAATGAGAAGCAACAGAGACTGGAGTCTATCTATCAACAAAATGAGACAAGGGCAAAACATGACTAATCGACGGGATCTCATGAGATTCTTGTCGTAGCGAGATTTGGGGCGGATAAATTTATATGCAGTCTTAGATGAATTTTGGACGGAGATTTAGATTGACTTATTTAAATTATTTCAAACCCAAGCTTCTCTTTGCTAAGTTGGGATTCAACATTTAATCCGGTTCAGACCTATGTTTATTATATAACACATATACATGTAGGACTCAAGGATATACTATAATTATTAACAATTATTTGTCTTGTAAATGACTATTTTATCATTGATCAATCCAATTCATACACATGTTAAGAGGTATAATTGTCTTTTGAATCCTTAACCCTTTATCCATCTTCTCAAACCCACCCCTCTTAGGTTTGACGAAACTCATGATCATAAGTTTAATTTTCGAGCCAAGTTTGAAATTCTAGGACTGAATTTTTCATAAAAACATGGGATTTGAAGGAGTTTTGGACTATTTTTCCCAAACTCATCTTGTCAAACCC